AGAGACAGTGTTGAAGGCCCTCCGAAAGTCCAGGAAGATGACGTCCACTGCTACCCCTGCGTCTAGGGATTTGGTGACCTGGTCGTAGAAGGCCACCAGGTTGGTCTGACCGTCCAAAGCAGCCCAGGCGGTTGCTGTACCCCGTTCTTTGGCCGAAGCTCTCGTTACATACCTTTGGGCCCGATTCTGCGCCATTCCCCGGGCGTAGGGCTGGAAGAAGTCCACAGATACCAGTGGATTTTGACTGGACGCCTGAGCACTGCCGGAAAGAGCACCCCAGCAACTGATGCTCCTTCATTCATACCACCCGAGCACAAGAAAATGGAGTGTCTCTGTGCTAGGAGCTGTACACCCCATACTGCAAGGAGCTGACAGGCTAATGCCGAGACAGGAGACGGTAGGTGCAGCTGTGGGAAGGGGACCAGACACCCAGATCCTCCACTAACTTATTCGACACCAGGAAAGCTCATGCCTAGCCTGCACCAGGATCCAGCTCGGTGAGGGATCTGGATCCCGGTCTCACTCCATCTGTCCCTGGCAGCCAGGAGGCTACGGGGATTACATGCAGCAGCAAGCACTGGGCTGGTTGTCCTGAAGATATTTATTACAGTTTCTCGAGGCAGAGACAGACGGGCTCTTCCGTTACAGCCGTGGGAGGACTGAGCCCTCCGAGTCCCTCTTCAGCTGCTGAACGGCGGGAGCTGCAGAGCTTTGCAAAGTCGGGTCTGAGGAGCAGCCCAGGGCCTGCAGATCACAGCAGCCCAGGGACAACGGGGGCGAAGGTGAAACCAACCTCAGGGAGACGCGGCCTTCATCTACGCAGGGGCTGCTCCCGCCCCATCCCGTAGCCACAACACCCTCCGGCATCCCACAGCCGCGGGCAAGGCAGGCGCTCGGGATGTGGAGCAGAGGTCGGGTCCGGCCTTCTCCACCATAGTGACTTTTGGCCTATCCATCTCACTGCCAACAGATGTAAAAGGGCAATCTGCCTTTCTTAGCCCCCAGACCTTCCCCCTACAGATCTCCGTCTAGGCCATTCATTCATTCAGCCGAGTGTCAAACACTTCCACCGGCCAAAGATTTCCCTGGGGCGTGCAGCACAACGGTATCCTTTTAAAGCCGATTCCGTGCTAGCACTGGACCTCACCGCAGGATCGAGCATCTCGGTGTAAACCGATGCGGTTTCGCGGGGCTGCAGGGGAGCAAGAGAAGGTCAAGTCTAGTCTGGCTCCTTTGTGTCGCAGTCACAGGAACACCCCGCGTCAAGTGCCAAGACTTTGCTCGAAAGAGCGAGCGAGGGGCAAGCCTCCCTAGGTCCCTGCCGAGCAGGGGGAGACTCCTTCCCAAGCCCAGACCTCGTTACTGGTGTGTCCCTGGCTCACAGACAGGTCCGTGGCTCGAGGACTGGCCTCTCGAGACCCGTCAGTGAGCCGTGGCAGAGATGATCCTGCAGCCAAGGGCTTGCTGACACCACAGCCCCGGGTTTGTCAGCGTGACAGACCAGCCAGGCGTGCCGGAGAGACACCTCCCCAGAGCAGCTGTGAGCACCGGGCTGCCCCAGCAAGGGGCTGGTGTCCAGCGGCACCCCATTTGGCGGGCTTCAGAAGATGCAGCCTCCGCCGCACCCCTGCAAGCCAGCTAGCCAAGCCTGGGTTGTTAACCCAGGTTCACGCGGGTGGGTTTATCTCCACGTACCCCCAGGCTTGCTTCTGGAGCCGTGCCCCACAAACCGATTTCTGCTGATGGGCACACGCTGCGCCGAGCTAAAGCCTCAGGAAAAGGCCCTCGAGGCAGCCCCGCCATCTCAGCACCCGCCAGCAGCGAGCTGCCAGGTGCACACAAAACCAGCCCAGGCTCAGCGGGGTCTCTCCCTGCGTGTCAGGGCTTCTTCATTCACCCGCTTGCAGGATGCACCCGGCTCCCCTGCATCCTCCCCTTGTCTCTGATGGAGAGGAGCAGGGCTCCGGAGACAAGCTCGAGCTCTGCCTCGGAGCAGTTACCGAGAAGGAAACGTACAGGAGCTCCCCGAGCAAACGCTTCATTTCTTTGCAGGTGGCATCTGGCTTCCTCTGCTCTGAAGGTTCACGTGGCCTGATACAGCGCATTGCTCAGGGGACTCGGTCACAAAAACAACACCCTCCTTCGATGACAAACTGCTCCTTTCCTGAGCTCTCTGCTACATCCTCTAGCTCAGCGGCTCCCAAACGCCGACACTTGAAAATAGGTACCACCAGTACATTTTTCAGGTCAACCTTAACTCCCACCAGCAATTTGGTGTCATTTAAAGTCATTATAATCAATCTGTTTGTGTGTACCGCGGGTGGTACCCGCACCAGATTGGTCTAGCTGACCCCCTGACCACTCTGATCTCTCCATATCTTAAGCCCCACAGGGTGCTTCTACCATTGACTAATTGCCCTGGCTAATTATATCCCAAGGATATATGGGGTGATTAGCAGGCTGGACAGAGACCTGGTGTGGGGTCTGGGGCTGCCTTAAAAGAGACGCAGCAGCAGCTGCTGAGTGCCCCCCAGGTTGCTTGCTCAGCAGAGAGGCCTTGTCTAGCAGCCTCCTCTATCCTGGGTAAGCTTCAAATGCCCTGAGAAGAAGCACCACGTAAGGGCCCAGACACCTTGAAACCCCGAGCCCACCCCAGGACTTCCCTTCCGCCCCTGCTTGCTGCTGCACCCAGGCGCTGGCTGGCCCAGGCAGGTGAGGTGCATCAGAGACGGGGCTTGTCCAGTGCCTGGAGCTGGTCTGAGCTCCCCCGCCTTCGTGGAGGGGAGCTGAGCCCAGCAGAGGTTACCTGCCGCTCTAGGGAGAGGGGATGGGGCTGAGCAGGGGACTGCTGGATGGATAGGCCAGGGAGAGATGGGTCCATCTCCCAGGAGCGAGGCAGCGTGCAAACGGAGCAGTGGGAGTCTGAGGACGTCTGAGCTGGGGGGTCAAGGGAGACCCCAAGCCGCGGCCGTCCCCAGGGGAACAGACAGGAGACCAGTGCCTGCCCGCGCACAGGGGAGCCGTCCTGGTCCTGCTGCAGGCGCTGGGTGCTAGGGATGGGGAGAGAGATGCACTGGTCCTTGTTTCAAGCCCAAACATCTGGTGCCTCTCTCGAGCCTCGGGGGAGCAGGCTGGCACTGCCGCAGCTGAGGCCGTGTCACAGCGAGGCCTTGCTCCTACCAGCAGAAGGGACGGAGCGGTGGATGTGTTGGATTACCCTGGTTTAGTGCCTCTGAGCCAGAGGTTACAGGGCGCTTTAGGAGCCTTAACGAGATAAACTACATAGCGGCCTGGTCACTGGAGATCTGGCCTTCTCCCCCTTTCACAGATGGGAAAGCTGAGGCCCCTGGCTTCTCCTTGGTGTAATGCCAGGAAAATGCAGACCCTGGGGCTTTGTGAGCCTGACACATGGCACGTCCTCATTTTGTACCTGCCCTAGCTCCTTTCCCCCTGGCACCTGCGGCCCCCGGGCTGTGAGCAGACCCCGGGAGAGCTCTCGCCACCCAACCGCCCTCTTCCCAAGGGACAGGGAGGCACTTAGCTTGGGTTATAATTAGCGCACTTTGCTTCATTTAGAGCGGGTCCCAGGGGCACTCGCCTACTTACACCCAGCCCAGAGCCCAGGGGCAGCGCCAAGCCGGGGGGTTTTGCAAGAAGGAAAAATAACGGGAGTCCAAAGAAGAAGCAGGAACTTGGTGGGGGGGGCACAGGGAGCATGCATCAGGGGCAGGAGAGAGAACGACGGTCCCTAAAAACACCGGACTCATCACTGGGAAGAGCGCGAGTTCAAGGTGAGCGCAGGCTTGTTTGCCATCCCCTTGTTCCAAAACACGGCCCCGCTCACGGCCAGGCAGGGCAGCGCTTTATCTCCCCTCTCGCCTACAGAGCGCGGCTGGGCACTGGAGCTGACTTGGCTGCTGGTCACGGCTTTCCCGGATGCCTTGTTTCCTGCCACGTCCCAATGGTACCAGGACGCCCCCTTCCCCGCTGCCGTCCACCCTCGAGAGGGCCCCGTCCTTGGCGTCCCCGAGCTCGCCCGAGGTGTGGCTGGAGGGGGAGCTACAAAGGAGACTTCCAGCTAAGGGCAAATTTGGCCCTGGGTGCAAACTAGAGCAGCCCCAGGGCTGCTGTGCGGCTCGCTGCTCTGGTGCCTCAGCTTTCCTGCCCCCTTCTGCAAGCTGTGACCTGCCCCCATGGGGCTGAGGCCTCCTGCTGATGCCCCCCGTCCCATTGACCGCACCAGGAAGGGGTTGTATTCATGCACGGGGGAAGAGCTGGACACTGAACGAGCCAAGGCCCTGCAGCCTCGCAGAGCTTTGCCCGGTACTAGGCACCCTCTCTCTGCAGGTGCCCCCCGAGCTGCCGGGTGCTGCATTTAAGCGCAGGGCGGTGTGGGTGACCGGATCCAGGCTGCACGGAGGGATGCATGCGCCCGGCTGCAGCTCTGCCAGGCCGGCAACGCCCTCGCCTGCCCTGGGAAAACCTGTTTCCTCCCTGCGGGAGAGGAGAGGCAGCAGGGGAGCCCGTGGGTGGGAGCTCCTCCAGCGCTAATGCTGGCTGCGGTCTGGCCCTGGCTGTGCCAGGAGACACCCTGTACCTGCAGGGGCTGGGTGCAGCCTCCTTCAAAGCAGCAGGGTCCTCCAAACGCCCCTGCACATGTTCCCATGGGAGGATGGTCCCCCTCCCCTTCCCTTCAGGGGAGCAGTCGGAGCCACCCCCGCGCTGCAGCGCGTCTGCCCCTAGGCTGGGGGTGTGACCCCCCAGCGGGAAGCAGGGACATTGCCTCCTCTCTCGAGACCCTGCTGTGCCTTGCACACGGCTGCACCCTGCCCCCAGGCCTCGGCCCTTTTAGCCTGGCATCAGATGCACAAAGCGAGCCCGGGAGCTGGCCGAGGAGCCTGTTGCAGCGCAGCCCCAGACCAAGGCCAGGGCATGGAGGGCCTTATTCTTCCCCGCCTGTTTGGTCTCCCCTGTGGGCTGGGGAAGAGATGAAGATCAGGGGCTCACTGGAGCCGGCTGGATCCCCAGCCTCGAGGCACCGCTGCACGGCAGAGCCCCGGACCGGAGGTACGGGCTGTGCAGGCGTTCCTCTGGGGAGCACGATCCCGGCTTGCCTGCTCACCGGGGAGGCGCGGGGGCTGTCCTGCACAGGAGCTGAGCCGCGCCGGGAGGAAGGGGCTTCTCAGTCCACTTTCGAAGGGAGCAGCCCCTTTCCAGGCTCTTTATTGGAGCTGCAGGCCTGTCCCCAATGCAGCCCACGGGCAGCACAGACCTCCGGGGCCTGCTTCGCACACCACCCACCCGGCTGGGCAGGGGCTGCTCCCGTTTCGACACCTACCCTCCACCCCCCCGGGTCACAGCAGTGCGTTCCCTCCGCGACCGGCTGGAGGGTCACGACGGGGCTCGGGGCCAGGAGGCGATGGGATGCCCATGCAGCTCATCCAGGGGCTGCCACGTGGTCTTTGGAGCAGCGGGGCTTTGCCTCCCCGGCCTGGGAAGACGCAGTGGGCTGGGCTGGGCAAGCCCCGAGGGGTCTCACGGGCGCAGGATCAGGACAGGATGGGGTACGTCGCGTCGGTGGCCACGCCGCAGTTGTTGTCCTTCATGGACATGAGGATGTAGCCGTCGTTGCCCCAGTACGTGGACCAGGAGTTCTTGACGATCCAGTAGAGCTCCCCTTGCAGGACGCCGTAGCCCACGGCCAGCACCGCGTGGTCCAGCTGCCCGGGCTTGTTCCCTGCAGGGAGACGTGGCATCAGCACAGGCCTCAGCTCTTGATGCATCACCTTATCCCCCGGGGAAACTGAGGCACTGGGGGGGTTAGTCCTACAGCCGGCGAATGGCAACCTGCTGCAGGGGTGGACCGTGACCTGCCGATGCCAGGACAAGCCTCCTCCTCTCCACGGCTCCGTGACGAGAGCCACCGGGGCACCCCCGCCCCGAAGAAAAGCCCTGAGCCGTGCTCAGCCGGCATGAGGGATGGGTGTGAATGGGGCAAGGCACGGCTGCAGTGGTGGCATTTGGGAGGGTCTCACCAGCCAGGAACTGCATGCCCGGGGTCCGGGCTGTGCCCGGCACGGGGCTGGACTCACCGCACTTGGGTTCGTAGTAGACACCGTTGGAGTAGAAGGAGAAGGAGCGGTGGGAGGCGTCGATGCTGATGGCCACGGGGCCGTGCTTGTAGATGGCGGCTTTCACGGCCGTGATGTTGCCCGAGGTGATGTTGACGTAGCCCGTCATCTTGGCCAGCAGCTCGGACTGGTTATAGTGGCACAAGCCGTTCTGCAACACAGCGGGACCTGGCAATGGCTCCCCCGGCCGGGTCTCATCAGGCCCCCCCAGCATGGCCGGGGACAGGGGCATCTCTGGTGGCTGCATCTCCCAGCCCTGGAGATCAGCCGTGCCCCTGAGAGCCAGTCTCTGCCCAGCTTTGCAGTGGGGGAAACTGAGGCAGGGACCCAGTTTGAACGGAGTCCCTGTCTCCCACGGGTCACCGCAAGAGGAGCGTGTTCCCGTGCACGCCTGTGAGCTGTGGGACGGGGGCGGACACACGAGGCTGTGGGCAGGGTCACGCTAACGTAGCTGAGACCGGCAGCCCTGGGAATCCCAGCTGCTGCTCCCAGGTGACTGCGAGGGGCAACACGGCCACCCGGCCCCTGCCCCTGGGTGAGGACAGGGCCCCACACCAGAGGCCACTGGCCCTGGACTCACCTGGCCGCGGTAGGCACCGTAGGACTCGGTGCTGGCAATACCGCCATGCCTCATGATCCACTCGTAGGCCTGCCACTCCTCGCCCCCGTCGCAGGCGTAGTTGCCGAAGCCCCAGGAGCAGTCGATCAGCACTTGCTGGGACAGCGGGGTCAGCTCGCCGGTCTGCAGTGGGGCAGGGAGCACGGGGCTGAGCGCCCGGGCCCAGGAAGGGGGCCCGGGAAGATGCCTGCGGGAGAACTGCTGGGTCCCAGGAGCTCCCCCACCCACCCTGCCCTCTCCCCCATGCCGGGGGACACAGTCTCTGCTCCGTCTCTGCAGCTCTCACCTTGAGGAAGAGGGCCCCCTCCATGGCCCCGGTGGTGGCGAAGCTCCAACAAGAGCCGCACACGGCCTGGTCCTTCACGGGGGTCACGGCGCCTGGGCAGCGAGGGGCGAGACACTCAGGACGCTGTATCTGGAGAGCTGGGAGTGGGGGGCCAGCCCCCATCTCCCTCCCTGCCCAGCCCTCCGCCAAGCAGGGCATGGGGAGAATCAGGGGTGCCACATTCCCAGGGTGCTGGCAGGGGCTGCCTTGCAGGGGGACCCGTGGCCCGGCTCCAAGGTCTCCCATGGGGGACATGGTTAGATATGGTGACACATGATGGTGGGTGCCGTGGGATCCCTGGGGGCAATGCCTACCATACAACCGCCAGTCCAAGCTCTCAGGCAGGATGAGGCCTGTATACATCTCCGAGGGGAAGGGCTGCCCGTTGTTGGGCTTCCCGCTCCTCAGCCGCCCCCGCAGCACGGCCACCTCCTCCAGCGTGCGGTCGGCCAGGTGGTTCAGCGCCAGCTTGTAGGGCAGGTTGGCCCGGTTCTTGGAGTGGACATACCTGGGGAGGAAGGGGTGGTGGTGGGCATGGAGAGCACTCGCTGGGGCATCCCCAGTGGCCGAGGGGAAAGCAGGGCATCTAGTGCCCAGGGGTCTGCAACAGATCCGAGCCGGCCCCCGCAGAGACAGACATGCCAGGAACCAGCCGCCCGGCCCCCGGGATCCCCTACCGCATGTTGTGGGTGAAGACGTGCTTGCGGTGCTCCAGCTCCCACTCGCCACCGTAGCTCTTCCCGAACCTCGTCTTGTAGTGGTGGAAGAGCTGATGGGTCCGGGCAGCCTCGCGCCCCACCAGGTCTGCCATGGGGTTGGCCAGGATGCGGTGCTCGCCCGTGGTGTCGGAGAGGTACCTGCACCGTCTCGTCTCTGGGGCGGCAACACGGAGCGAGCTCAGACGGACACCCCCGGCTGCTGCTTCTGGCCGTGCCCGGCACCCCCAGCTGACAGGAGATGCCAAGATGCTGCCCGGCCTCCACCCCAGAAAACCACCCAGCCCCCAGTGGGTCTCCAAGAGCAGGACTGCAGGGTCCCAGCCTGGCCCTAGGGCTGCTCCTGTCTACCCAGCCTCCAGGTTGGCCCCTAGCAAGGTCTCCCGGGATTGACCTCCTCCATCCAGGCTGTCTTTCCCCTCCCCAACCTTCTCCATGAGAATCAGGGGCTTTGTACAGCACCTAGCATGAGGGGCTAGGACCTGCTGCAGAGGGTCCCTTGCAATGGAAACAACTGGGGGTTGCGGCGTGGCATGCGGGGGGTCTCGGCAGGGCCCTTACTGTTGACGGGGAGGTCGAAGACGGAGGCGGGGAAGCTGTTGGAGTAGTGGCTGTACTGGATCTCGTACTTGTCGTAGTGGGAGCCCAGCAGGGAGTTGAAGCCGCGCATCTCGTAGTGCACGGGCGCCACGCCGCAGCTGTTGTTGGTCACCCACAGCGTGTACACGTTCTTCTTGTGGCCCACGTGCGTGACGTTCTGCCACACAGCGCAGTACTGCCCGCTGTGGTACTCTTCCCGCAGGAACTGGGGGGCAGGGGGTGAGTGTCAGAGTCACCCATCTGCCCAGAGGCTCCCTCCGCCCCAGGCTAGGCAGCTACCTGGCACCCGGCAGCAGCATCTGTCGAGCGCGCCCGAGCCGAGCGGAGCAGAGCCCAGTCTCTCCTTTCGCAGCTGGGCCGTGCAAACGGGGGGCAAGAGAAGAGGGGATGGGGGACACGGCAGCGAATGCATCTGCCTCCGAAGGCAGATAAAATGCTTTGGGTAGATGTGGTCTCTTTTATTAGATCAGCCAAATAGTTGGAAAAATGGTTCTTTGCAAGCTTTCAGGCACAAACGCTGTTCTTCAGGCATGCGTGCAGCAGAGACGCAGGAGACCGCAGGCCTGGCCCCGGCGCGTGACGTGCTGAGCGTGCACGTAGCCCAGAGAGGGTCTGCGCTCCAGGGCGAAGCAGAGCCTGAGGTCCCCCGTGCCCCTTCCCTGCAGAGCTGTGCCCAGCACGGGAACAGCCTGGCCCTACGTGCAGGAGTGTTAGCTACCATCTGGGCCGTGCCAAGTCCTGCGGCTGAGTCACCCGGCAGGGGTTTGCCCCTCACGTTGCAACAAGCCTCTGATGGGGAAAGGAGCAGAGCTCCTCCGCCACCTTCCCACGCTCCATCTCCAGCGGCTCGGGCTGGCAGCGCCTGCTCCTGTGCAGATTCTCCACCTGCTTTGGGGCACCTGCTCTTCCGCCACCAAGAAAGGGTGAACCAGCCAGCCGGTGCTAGAGCAGCCTCGCCGTGGCTCTTGATTTTTATGTATACCGTCGGGCCCCTTTGCAAGGGGAAGGGAAACAGCAAGGTGCTCGCTGCCAAAAGCAGGGCAGGTGGCATGGGGAGAAGGGCAGGGCAGTGTCCGCTGTCTGCCCTGCTCCCCTCAGCCCTGGGAGGGGAGGCCGGCATGGATCTCTGTAGCAGCTGATGCTTGCATTGAACCAGCCGGGCCCCCTGCGCTTGCGGGGATGTCGGCAGAGCTATGCCAAGCACACGTGCCCTCGGGGAGCCCAGCTGTGCTCCCTGCCCTTTGCTCCCCTGGCCACGGGCACCTCACCTTGAAGCCATCCATGTTGGGGAAGACGGTCTGCGGCTCGATCGGCCCCTCCTTGGTGCCGTTGATCAGGAAGCACTTCAAGACGTTGGTCTCGGACTCCGTCGTCTCTGGTGTGATCTTGTAGCTGGCGCCGTAGGGCTTCACCGCCCCGAACTGGAAGGTGATCACCTGCCCTGCAAACGGGAGGGCGGCGTGACGGTGGGGCACTTCCCTGCCCCCACCCCACTGCGGGGTACAGCCAGGCCCGGTGGGTCCTCTCGGGGTAGCAGCCCAAGGGTTGCCTCCAGCCCGGTGCCCAGAGCAGGCGGCCAAACGCAAGGGGATGCAGGCCAGGTGCAGCAAGGGGATCCTGCCGCTCTGGATTCAGGTAGGGCACCATCACCGAGCTCCGGTAGGCAGGAGAGCTTAGCAGGGGCCTCCCCTGCAGAGAAGGGCACCGCGAGGGTCTGGGCACCCGTGTCCTGGCCCCCTGTGCCCTCAGCTGCTTTCTAGCGAGGTCCCTAGGGTGTCAGGGGTCTCTGCGACACGGGTCCTTAACGCATGCCTTGCTGCAGCCAGCGAACGCGTGGTGCTGCTGAGATGCAACGGCTCCTCGTGCCTCCGTGGGAAGCCAGTGGTCCAAACCGCTCGCGGCAGGGGATGTCAGCGGAGACCTGGCGTCTCTCACCACCCTCCTCCTCCATCGCTCGGCACCGAGCTCCCCTGCGGGCACACAGGCCACTTACCACCGTAGTACTGGATACGGCTCTGCTTTCCGCTCAGGTTGTACCAGGCCTCGAAGGGCTCCTCGATTTCAGCGTAGGGCAGGTTGATGACGCCTGCAGGAGACAAGGCGGCAGCTCAGCCAGAGCCGGGGTGAGGGGCAACGGGGGAGCAGGCAGGGGCGCCAGACAAGCCCTGAGGGCCTCACTGGTGAGACTGGGACATGATGGGGGTCACACACACACACACGTGCACATGCCAATGCTCACACACATACAGCTAAGCCCTGGCTATGGGGCAGGGGTCCACCAGACCCATTCTAGCTGGAAGACTTTTTTATTGAGGGTCCCCATCCACCCTGCGCGCTGGTGCTACAGCTGGCCTGATTTCCCAGGGCAAGCGTCCTCTGGAAGGAGTTTGGATGCCCTGCCATTAACACTGTAACAGGCCCCCTTATTAGGGACTGTGATTAGTGCCCTGTAATTAGCACCATTACCCCCGCCATTAGGAGCTGTGACTTGTATGAGGCTGGGATGGACAGACCATGCCTCCCCATCCACCCTCCCAAGGCTCCACCTTTGTTTCCTAATTCCTGTAATTGGTGCTGGAGTTTCCTGGCAGCCGCCGCTCCGTTTGAAGTGGAGCCGGGGGCAATTCTCGCTGCATTTCGAAAGAATTACAAGGCCGGGCTGCTGCCAGGGGGAGGGCGAAGCATTAGACAGCAGCGTTATTGCAGAGGCGTGGGGGAAAGTTGAGCTCCCAGATCCCACCAGCTGCATTGCAGCGGGGACCCCCCGACGCCCTGTCCCCCGGCCCAGCAGCAGGCCGAGGGGAGGGGTACTCGCAGCCTAGACGGTCTGGAAGGTAACTTGGGGCACAAGAGGCTGCAAGCAGGGGCATCAGCCCCGCTGCCACCTGCACACCGGGCAGCCTTACCTTTGACGTGGTAGATGTTTCCAAAGGAAGGGGTCATGAGCGATGGCTTGCAGTCATGCCCTAAAGAAGGGAACACAACCGCCCGTCAGACCTGGGCAAGGCGGGGAGGCCGGAGCAGCAGGGGGGCGGGTGGGCCATACTCCGAGGTCTGGGTGCCTGCGCGTCACGGGCCTCGTCATCGGGGCCAGGCTGCTAGTGCAAAGTCAATGTGCGAGACGAGCATGTGGCTGGGATGTTCCTGCCTTGAGCAGCGGGGACGAGCCCTGCTGTTCTGGGGATGCCTGCGGCTAGCGCTCGTGTTTCCGACTCGCTCTGAACTGGTTTAACTGGTGCTGGGGCGGAAGCCCCCACCTCGCTGACGCACCTTCCGCCTCTTGCAATCACAGGGTGCGTGAGGTTCGGGGCATGCTCAGGCCCGGCGTGAGCGGCTGCAGCGTCACGGCCCATGTACTGTCCAGGCCCGTGACCCGCCACCCAGTCGCATGCAGCCCCCTGGCGTGGGGGGGGGCTTGGGGGGCTGCATCCTGTAAGACCAGGGAGCAAAGCAGGTGTCAGGCTGGCCCCAGGCCACAGTGGGGTCCTCTGTCTGCCCTGCGTGGCAAATGGTCTTCCGGAGGCAGCGGGCGCAGCCCGGTGGGGGTCTCAGGGCTCCCCGCCTTGCCCCTTCTCTTGCCGGCCTGCGTGGAGGAGCAGGGAGGGATGCTAAGGCTGGAACCAGCCCCCTGCAAGCCCCAGCCATGCTCCGCGGCTCCCAGGCCGCAGGTCCTGCTGGGTGGCACCGGCGGCCAGCAAAGATTTGGCCAATGGTTTCATCCGAGAGCATCGGAGGCCGCAGGCGTGGCTGGCGCCCAGCGTCTGCCCCGGGGCTGCTTGGCTCCAGACTCTGGGCTCCACCACGGAGCCGCCTCCTCTGTCCCGGGACCCGGGCTCCGTGTTTCTCAAGACTGCAGCTGTGGCTCAATCCTGTGCAAACCCAAGCCAACACGCCCTGGGCTCGACTCGCCTCTCCCTGCACAGCACCGGGAGGGGACAGTGCCTCCTGTCCGCTTTAACCCTCCATAGCCCCCTGCCCCAACACGCCGGGGCAAGCCATCTCCGTCTCCAGCACCGGAGCAGAGGCGGGGGCAACCCTCCTCTCCAAACGCCCCTGGCCCGGGCAGTCAGCGGTGGGGGAGCCCCAGTACGTCGCCCCATGCCAGTGGGCTGGAGGCTGGGCCCATTCTCTTCCAGCCAGGGGAAACTGAGGCACAGCATGAGCCCCGGCACCTGCCCACTCAAAGCTGGGGGACCCCACCCCACGCAAGCAACGGGGGGCCCTCAGGGACCCACACCGCCCCTCCAGGGGGGAACATCTCAAGGGCCTCCCCACCCCGAGCAGGGGAGAGACTCACCGGCCACGCAGCCCCAGGCCACGCAGAGCAGAGCCCAGTGCAGAGCGCCCATCCTGGCAGCCGTGGCAGAGCGAGCTCCCAGCACCCCTTGACAGTGCAGCCAGCGGCAAGAGGAACCGGGGAGCCAGAGCGGGCTGGGGAGGAGGGAGCTCAGGCTTGTGTCTACAGGAAGATCAGCACGGGGCAGGGTGGAGCCAGCACGGGAAGGGGGCGTGGGGTGGGGAGGGCAGCGAATGGGGCAGGAAGAGGAGCTGGGGCTTGGCAGGGGCTCCAGGGGGTCCCCAGGGCTGGAGGATAGGGAGGAAGGACTGAGGGGAGCTGTGCTCAGGGCTGGAGCAGCCTTGCAAGCCCTGCAGAGCTCCCCCATCGGGGCTTCAGACCCCTCCACGGGCCCAGGCAGGTCACTGCCT